CATCTCCAAAACCACAATTCCATAGCTATAAACATCAACTTTGGAGGTTATTGGAAGATTGTAAACCCACTCAGGAGCCATGTAGCCTCTTGTTCCTCTTATCCTCGAGAAACCTGAGCCATTGAGACTTCCTCGATTTAGCAGCTTAGAAAGGCCAAAATCTGCCACCTTTGGTTGGAAATTGGAATCCAAGAGTATGTTCTGTGGCTTAATATCACAGTGTAGAATCCAATCCAAGCACTCCTCATGCAAATAAGCCAAACCTTTTGCAGTGCTGACAGCAATTTCGAACCTCTTTGCCCAATTAAGTGCATTCTTTGAAAGATTATCTGCTAAAGAACCATGTTCAACGTACTCATAAACCAAAAGCCTGTGCTTTCCTTCTACACAATACCCCCACATTTCCATCAAGTTCATATGATTAAGCCCTGAAATTGTACATACTTCTGTGAGGAACTCTGCTTCTCCTTGGCCAGCTTCATGAAGGCTCTTGATTGCAGCAACGCGATGATCAGGCAACTCTCCTTTGTACACAATTCCGGCACCACCTCTTCCTATTTCTTCACTAAAACCATTGGTTGCCTTTTTAAGCTCGGAATAACTGTATCTTCTGAATCCAGTTGCAACCTGTGTGTATACCGGCACTGTTGCTTTGTTATCTTCATTACTTCTAAACAAAATACACCAAACCAAGAAAATGAATATGAACTCCACAACTCCCACCACAATGGAGAACCAAACCAAAAACTTCAAGGATCCATTTTGTTTGCCTTTTGAATATGTTCTATTCAGCGTAACAACTTCTGGGTTGTCGACACAAGCCAACCTTGAATCCTCATACAGATTTTCTCCAGATTTAATACTGGACTTGGGTAATTTCAAGTAAAGATCCCCCTCAAATGAAGGTGAACGATATCCATTAAGCAACAACATCTTGAAGTAACAATTACGGTCCGATTTAAACTGGAATCCTTTGCACTCGCACGATTTGAAGCAGTTTTCTTCACAGCTTTTCAAGGTACTACTGACGATGTAATCTTTGTCGAAGCCATAGAATTCAACATGAGTAAGTTTGACAAATCCAAGATCACTTTTGTTGCAAGAATCTTTGAATTCTGGTACACAGCCTTGAGACCAATCCTGGGAATTCTTAATCCTGAATCCTGGTAAGCAGGAACATGTCGTGCCCCGAATACGATCATACTTGCACAGGCTGTTCTGTCCACAGATGCCATGAATCTTGCAAGGTTCTCCAAAGGCTTCCCAAGAAACAACCCAAGTCCCAGCTGTCTCTTCCAGACTGTATAACCTTAAATTACCGTCAGGATCAAGAGTTAATCTTCTCAATGGACCTGCACCGGAGTCCACTGCCTGAAACCACAATTCATCTGATGACCTGAAGTTACCCGAAGAATCAAATATTGCAACTCTGCTGCTGTTATATGTAGACCTCCCACTTTGCCAAGGAAGGAGAAACGGCGGCGGCCAGTAGACACTGGTAATGTCTGGCACTTGGTAAAGAAGGGCGAGAAGATTATTGTTGTCGAAGTAGAACTTATAATTACCAGAAGAATAGTTGGACCGGCTTCTTGAGGAGATAAGATTAGTGTCTTTGGTGAATTCCTGATTAGGAAGAAGTGTATCTGTAGGGAACTTAAAGCTTTCCCAGAAGGTGGATTTACCATCCAGAGTTTGAAGAACAAGATTGCCATTGTTGAAAAGCTTTAGTTGAACGGAGTGAGATGAAAGAGAGTCTACATTCCACTCTGTTTTTCCACCGGCGTCGGTCAAGATAAACCCTCCGTTTCTCAAGAGGGAAAGCTTTGAGCCTTTACCGTTCACGGGTTGGTCTCGGTTGGCCATCCAAACAACAGTGCGATTGGGATCGGATGAAACATTGAACCATACGGCGAAGCAGAAAGCATTTTCTCCAACTTTGTAAAACCCTGCATTAAAGACTCCATTTTCAGAAGCCAGAACATCCGCTGGTTTCTGAACATGCAGCGAATCACCTTCCCTGAGAGTATCAGCGGCAGTGCATGGAGAAAGAAGGAATATTTGGAGGAAAGTAACAACAAGCAAATAAACTGAGATTTCCATGAATGAAATTGTTTTGCAGTTAATAAAAAAAAAAACCTGAGTTCATGCTCTTATAATTCTTTGGTGGTTCAGAAAGTCAATAAACCAACATCAATACAGGAAGAAGAAAACAATGAAGTCACTGCTTTGCATTTGGGCTTACGTTTAGTAGTGTAAGACTAGAATCCGGGACCATTTTAGATCTTAGACAAGGACA